TTATTACTACTAGTTCCTTAAGGGATAATTGGAACACCAAACAATTAAAAACGTGTTTATTACCACTAGTTCCTTAAGGGATCATTGGAACACCAAACAATTGAAAACGTGTTTATTACCACTAGTTCCTCAAGGGATAATTGGAACACCAAACAATTGAAAACGTGTTTATTACTACTAGTTCCTTAAGGGATAATTGGAACACCAAACAATTGGAAACGTATTTATTACAAGGCTAACTTATAAAAAGGATCATTGGAACACCAAACAATTGGAAACGTTTTTATTACAAGGCTAACTCTTTAAAGGATCATTGGAACACCAAACAATTGGAAACGTATTTATTACAAGGCTAACTCCTTAAAGAATCATTGGAACACCAAACACTTAAAAACGTGTTTCTTACAATGCTAACTCCTTAAAGAATCATTGGAACACCAAACACTTGAAAACGTGTTTATTACACTGCTAACTCTTTAAAGGATCACTGGAACACCAAACACTTGAAAACGTGTTTACTATGTGTTAATTCCTTAAACGATCAAAATCTTAAAAACATTATTTTAACATCAAAAATTTAAAACCTATTCAGTACAGCATTTTTCATAAGCAGAGCTAATAAAGATAAAAACGAACATTGTTTTTGAGAATATTTACTTAAACACTTTGGAGTTTGGGTGATATTCCATTGTAAATTAGGCTGGCATATTCTGGATATTAACTTTGATTGGCTGACCGGTACGACATATCCACTGTCACAGTGAAGACTACAAACTGACCCGGAGGTAAGGTCACCATGCTCTCCGGGAGTACACCGAATAGATCCATGATTCACTCTTGGTGGGCGGTTACATTGTGGTGCTGAAAAATAAATATCAGGTATAATAACATTAACAAGAAACTCAGCTTAGTCCTATCAAATAGATATACGAAACTAGTCACGTAATATAATTTCTCTTGAGTTAAATTCTACAAACTAGACACATAATGTAAGAAGTTTGGTTCTTTTCACAAAAAAACAAAAGCATTTTTTTATATTATCGTTTTAAACAAAACACAGCTGACCTTTAACGACAATTCTGTAGGAACAAAACCCAACAGTCTGTAACTCAGGGTCAGTACTTTCACAGTTGTTGATGTACTCTCCAGGAGCCAGCTCATCCTCCAGGGTACACTCCACATCCAAATCTCCCCCGTCTCCAGCTACAAACCTGGGTTTCTTCACCTGAGCTACAGTACTTGCGGCTACTAAAGTGTGA